AAAGCCAAGCAATGCCAATGGGGGATGTTAAATGTGTGATCCACAAATTCATTCTCTCCTTTTTTTGCTTAAAAAATTGAGTTGTACCATTTACTTTGAGTGATTCCATGATGTGAATCGTTTTTCACAAATATGTGTTAAGTTTGTGAATGATTACGCATATGAGTAGTTATCTTAATTTACAAGACGAAAAAGTAAATCGCTCAAGTTTTTCAATTACCCAAAACCCTACATTTAACGATTCTACTCATCTTTTACTTTGTATAAAAGCGCATCATCTATGGCCAACATGGCACGTCCATGTGCAAAAGCAAGTAATATCCAATCCAGCGACAACTAGTAAACAAACCTGTATTATATGCAATTTCCATATCTTTGGACTGAGGAGACAAGTTTTTGGGGAAGAATCTTATGAAAATCTTAGATCAGTCATAACTTGAATAATGCAGCAGGACACACAAAAGCATAAAGCATGTGATTATCATAAGGCTCTCCATTAGTATTAGCTTAGATATTCTGTGTCTTTTCCCCTTTCGCTTTTGCTTTTAGCTTAGTGACTCCCAACTCGGTAGAGCAGGCTTGGTTGATGGAATTTCACAAATAAAAAACAAAATCCCCTATGCTGGAGGAAATGTAATGAAACCAAAACGACGCCTTCCTAATTCATTAAAGTCATGTTTGGTGAATGAAACTGGACTATTTCAATTAAAATACGACAAACATGTGGCCGTTATTTGGTATGCTAGAAGTGGGCTCATTAAATTGGACATGATCTGACATATTGTTCTTTACAAGTCCCACATAGAGAGGTGAAACTCAACGAGTCATTCTATAGTGAGGGTCTTATATATGGTTCCTAGGTAATGTCTTATCTCTTAACCGTTTGATCAGACTAACCAATTTGATCGAACGGCTAAAAAATAGAGCATCATCTAAGGGCCATATATAAGGCCATCACTATAGAATTATTTGAGACTCATAAAGAATGGCTTGGACTCAATTCCAATCAAATTCAAGATGGGCCACCAAATAAGGCCTAATGGGACTGGTAGCCCATGGACTTACTTTACATTTTGGGCTTAACTGGACTAGACATTATTCCTGGGCTAGATTTATCACCTAGCTTTATTGTCAACCCAACCCCAATTTTGGGCTTAACGCCCAATCAGCCAGCTGGGCTTCTGTTCATTTTGTTTCATTTTCATTTTCATTATTATTTGTTATGTTTTAACCAAGTAGGAGCAAGAGAAAAGAAAACACAAAAACCCCTCTTTCGCTTTGTCCACCAGAGGAAAGTCACAGTCTCACTTGCCTTGAACAAAAAGAAAAGCTCGATAAAAAACCCAGAGGTTTTCAGCAAGTTAAGAGCAGTCTCTGTTTATTTGAGCCGTCAAGAGAGAAGAAACGACGCCGTAAAGATGTTCAGAAACCAGTACGACACAGATGTGACGACATGGAGCCCAGCCGGGCGGCTTTTCCAGGTGGAGTACGCGATGGAGGCCGTGAAGCAAGGCTCGGCGGCCATTGGGCTCCGATCCAAGACCCACGTGGTGCTTGCCTGCGTCAACAAGGCCAACTCCGAGCTTTCTTCTCATCAGAAGAAGATTTTCAAGGTCGACGACCACATCGGCGTCGCCATTGCCGGCCTTACCGCCGACGGTCGTGTCCTCTCTCGATATATGCGATCGGAGTGCATCAACTACAACTACACTTATGAATCTCCGCTCCCCGTCGGACGACTGGTCGTTCAGCTTGCCGATAAGGCTCAGGTGTGTTGCGTACTCAAGCCCTAATTTTGAATCTGTTTCTGTTGCTCATTTCTGTAAATTTTTGGTTTTGTTTGAGTGGGTTTGTGACTTGGGTGTTGGATCGGGGAATTGGGGGTTAGGGCTTTGCTGGAGGTGGGGCTGTGGGAAATTTATTCCTTTTCTCAGGGTTTCTGGGAAATTGAGACTTAAAGGAGGGAAATTGGTATATGAATTTGGTGTTTCATTTCCAGTAGAATTGTAGACTTCCTTTCAACTAAATCAAGTATGGCGCTTTAGTCTAAGTTGAGGGATGAGTTTACTGGGAAACCAAAGATTTAGAACCCTAGGATTGCTCAAAGGAAATGAGTGGTTGGGCTAGGGTTTTAACAATATAGTTAGCTACTTACGGTTCCCTTGTGTCATAGGTCTCCTTGGGTATCAATCATGCGAAGTTAAAGATCAAATTTCTTTGAGTAGCATATGTTGAAGTGAGGTTTTTTTGGGGGAGGGGTGGATAGGATAAGCTATTGGGGTTTAGATTGTGTTGTTAATGTGACTTCAAATTGTTTTCTTTTCTTTCATTGAGTGCTGGTATTTCAGAACCTTTAGGAAATAATTGACACACTCTAGTTGCTTCTGTCAGTAAATTACCCAAGCAAAGTAAATTAACTTGAGCGAGAAAGGAAAAAGAAATTGAGGATTTACTGGAAAGGTGTAGAACGGACTTGCCTGGGAAATGTATGTGTGGAAGAGTTTGGATTGAATAGTTAATATACATATTCCATAGTCTTATTTGTTTCTGGATCCCATTTTGCCAATAATTAATAAGTAGGCTTGTTTTTTTAGAGTTATAGCTATTGTTTGTAGGTCAGTAGGCTTGGTGAACTTTTGAAATTTTATTTCTGTGTATTGTGCATTAATACAAGGGAGTTTCACTAAAACACCCAAAATGGGGGCTGAAATTATAAAAAAACCCAACACCCAAAACACTTTATAAACACACCCAAAACCCATCATTACACACACTTAAAACCCATTTATAAACACACCCAAAAAATATACAATTGTTGATTTTGGGGTTGATTTTGGGTGTGTTTCTATGTTTAAATAGTGCGTGGGTTTTTTTATAAATACATGTCTAGGATTGGGTTTATTTATAATAATCTATTAATACAACTTATCAAAAAGGTGTATTTTATTTGCGTTGCACACTGTATACTGAGATAAGAACTCTCTCTCTCTCTCTCTCGCGCGTGCGCGCTCTGTGGTGCATGTATTCACGTGGGCACATGTATCTTCTATATTACAATTTTTGAATATTGTAGTTAGATTTTCTGCCTTCATCGCACAGCTTTATGAAACATACAAAACGTGAGTTCCGCTCAAATCTCCTAAGCTTTAACTTTGTGGTATTCTAATGTGGATGGTCCACAAGAGTACAAATTGATAATATAAATGATATGATCATGTCCACAAGAGTACAAATTGATGAATTCAGTAGAATGGTGGTATTATCATGTTAGTTGGCATATTTTGCATATTAAATGATAATATAATGTCAAGTTCATCACAATTTGCATTTCAGTGACCTCTTAGTAAGTTGAAGTTGAACTACGGGCAACCCTGAGATTCTTCAGGAATTGACAAATTTTAATTTTGCTGTGTTTTGAAATCAGTTGTGTTAGCTTGAATATTGGTCTTTTGGTATTATTATATGCTGAATCTATTTGTCCCTTGAATCCTACTGATTTGAGGCAAAACTGTGCAGAACTGCCACAAAAAGAGCCACCAATCTTATTGATATCTCTTCAATTTTATCATTTGGTTGATGTCTCTTCAATCTTAATGTTTGGTTAATGTCTGTTCAATATTTATGTTTGGTCTTTCTAATCAATTATCTTCTACATGTATACCACTGTTTATTTGTATGTCCATTTAGAGATGTTTCCTCATCTCAGGTCTGTACTCAACGCTCATGGAAACGGCCATATGGTGTTGGACTACTAGTAGGTGGTTTGGATGAGTCCGGAGCACACCTATATTATAACTGCCCGAGTGGAAACTACTTTGAATACCAGGCTTTTGCAATAGGATCTCGCTCACAAGCTGCTAAGACATACTTGGAACGCAGGTTTGAGAACTTCACGAACTCTTCACGGGAGGATCTGATCAAGGATGCCCTCATTGCGACAAGGGAAACCTTGCAGGGAGAAAAGCTGAGAAGTTCCATATGCACAATTGCTGTGGTAGGAGTCGAGGAGCCTTTCCATATATTGGATCAGGACACTGTTCAGAAGTTGATTGATGCATTTGAGATCGTGGGGCAGGACGAGCCTCCTGCTGCTGAACCCGATGTTGCTACTGAGCCTGGAGCAGCTGCAGAAGAGGGAGCTGGTGCTGGTGATGGTGCTGGTGATGGTGCTGGCCAGGGTGCTGTTGCTGAACCAGATGTAGCTCCAATGGATATTTGAGGATGCTAGAATCTGTTGTCTTTCCACCCTTTCAGTGAGGTTTTCTAGCATATGTTTCTTAAGAGTATGGATGGTATTGTGGAAGATAACAATTTATTGTTGAACCTTTGCCCTTTCTTTTTCTTTTCTCTTACAACTTTACGAGGTTATGCAAGTTACCTGCCTCATTAGCAAGAACATTTTGACGGTGGCCTCTGGTTAGATGAACTTTACATTCAATAGCTACCGTTGAGATATATTGAACTTATCGATTATGCCCAACCTTGTTATACACTGTTTGTTTTTGAATGGTTTACTTCTGGATGCACCCGTGTATGGGCTTAACATAACACTGATGCTTGGGGTATCTTAATGTTATAACAGATAAAAATCTTGCGAGCTCTGCAACTTAAGTTCATCCGCAAACAATTTATATTTCGTGCAGGTTTTTGAGCTACACAAAAACATTTGACTCGATCTACGTAGCATTTGTCACACTAGTGAAGTTCCGTTCTCAAGTAGCTGCTTCTCACTTCACCTAGTAGCGGTAGTTTACTCGTTAGCATTATTTGTGACTGAGATTTTAAGAGAAGAAATGTGGTATTACCTTTACTTTTCAAGTTCTGTTTTTCAATAAATTTTTTTTTATACAAGAGGTGTAGGGTGAGAGAGTCAAACATATAAAGTTTGGTGTAGAGGTAAACGCTCTTTGCTTTACTTTCAATTTTAAATTGAACCATTTAATTATAATGCTATTACAATTGATTTCAAATTCCATTATTGAAATTTTAAGTGGTCGTTCGACACTTGTTCAACCCCGGGTAGAGAAAAACAGAAAAAAGAAGAAAGAGAAGGCAACATTATGATAACGGTTAAAAATTTGCAAAATCACTAAACATAGCAAACCAACACAAACCATTCAAGAGCATAAAGCCTCGAACTATTCAGGATCCACTCCTCATATTCTCTATCGTATGCGGTGGTCCAGTCAGCCTCAGAACGCAACCATAGCTGCCCCTTGTTTTTAAAAGATATATAGAGGGCTAGTGGCCATGGAATTCAAAATAATCACTTCTCTGATAAAATAACAAAAATTTTAAAAAATCATTTGGGGATATCAGGAAGAGTGAGGCCCTTGGTCTGCATCTGCTTGTACATCCATTGCCAATTCTCAGGGGTGACCTCGCCCCCAAGAGAGCGAATAACAGATCCGCCACTGCATGATCCCACTTTGCAGCATTCCTCCAGAGATAGTCCCTTCACCAATCCATACAAAAATCCACTTGCAAACAGGTCTCCTGCTCCTGTGGCATCCACGGCATTGGCTTTCCCTATGGCTGGAACTCTCACAATCTGACATATTAAACCAAAATTTTTATAACATACCCTTGTTAATCAACTTTATCAATATAACACTGAGATAATTGTTACTAAGTGACTGACCTCTTTTCCGTGCTTTGCAATGCATCCATTGGGGCCTAACGTCACCACTGCCCACCGGCAATGTTTTGCCAGAAACTCAAGTGCAGCCTCAGGATCAGCTTTTTGTTCACCCTCAGTGCCTCTATAAGAGAAATTAAACACCATATTACAACTTCGGCTCCCAAAAAAGAAAAATAGAAAAGAGAACATCTGCCAAATTGGTGCCTAATGGTAGAAGAAAAGTAAAACATTTTTCCTCCAGTCTTAGTAGAGTCAACTTTATTTCATCAAAACTGGGTGAACAGTTCAACATGTTACAATTCCAACCAAATGAAAGCCACCTTAGCAACTCTGTTGCTTCATCCTCATTGGCAAAGCAGAGGTCTATGCCCCCTGACTCCAGCAACTGCAGAAGAGGTGATCTAAAGTTGCGAACCATCTGGGTAATGTTAAAGACTATATAAGATAATAGACAGAGACCTAAAATTTGATATTAAACAGCCTCAAGAAGGAAAAAAGAAAAGAAAAAGAAAGGTTAAAGGCCAAACAGAAAAATGCGTTTTCACTTTGCTAGCAAACACGAGATTCTACATCAATGCTGTTGCAGCAGGATTGAGATTTAAGAAACGAGTTTGATATCACATCAAATGTAGCAGGAGTTTCTTTAAAGGGATGGGTCGTGTGGCCTTAAGTATATTTACAGGGAGATAACTATTGTAGCAGATGCTTTAGCTAGCACTGGAATGGACTTCGATCTTGGCTGTACTATCTTAGATAGCCCCATTTGTATAGGGTTTTCTAGACCGGTATTCTCTGTTAGTTTCTTGTTTGTTGGATGATTGGGCTTTATCCCAAAAAAGAAAAAAAAAAGAACGTAGCAGGAAAATATACTCTTATCATACAGGTTTAAATTATTCATTCTCAAACTTAACTAGTTTCAAAAGCAAATTTGGAGAAGTCCGTTGTTCCAAATGAAAGAATCTCAACCAAAGAAAAGAAAAACTCATACCTCAAAGCTGGCCAAGTCCATGGACACAAAAAGACCCTCTTGTTTGGCAATCAGTATAGCAGCTTGAATCACTTCCAAATGGATAATACCATACCTCAACAACAGCCACTACAAGAAAAAAGAGATATCAACAGTTGTATCTACAGGGCTACAAATTTGCCAAACAATTCAAGTTTATGGCAAGAACTCTATTACTGATTCCGAGGTCAAAGTTTCACACATGATTGTGTGTCTAAAGCGCATTATGGTATTACACTTTGTTGGAGTAAAACTTTAAATTTTAGCGAGTAGAGAAGAAACTAACCTTACAGCCCTTAAAATCCGCTCTTGTCAAGTCATCTGCCTGAATAACATAATTCTAATAATTCTTTGTAAGCTCATTCGAAGAAATTGTCAAAGAGCTCAGGCACACACCACACACGCACACACACAAGCATGCACACAGACATGCAGATATGCATGCATATACGGACATAGAAAGAGTCATGCACCTGAGGGTGAAGTTTCACAGCACTTGAGAGACAGGGACGCATTGTACGATTGCCCAAGACATCAACCAAGCAAACGCACTGTATGACATCATTTACTTACAATGCTTCAGCACCTAACATCTATGAGCTAAATGTTCAAATGCCAAAAAAAATACGATATTTAGCTAAACCTGAGCTGTGGGTCCTTTTTTCATCCTCAATCTTGAGAGGCTCACAGCATGAGAGCTCATGTTACTGACAAATAACTGGCCTTGCTCATCATCCCCACAGGCACCAATTATTCCACAGGAGATTCCAAACCCAGCACTCAGCCCTCTGATAGTATTGGCTACACTGCCCCCGGCTATTGTTTTCATGGGCAAGGAATCATCAGGGGATGAGATAATATGGGTCTTCACCTCATCCAGTATGTGCTCAAGCTCTTCAATTGCAACCTACACCATACAGTATGTGACAAAAGCTAAAGTCTTAACTTTTTGCTTGCACAGAGAATACAGAGCAACATTAAATACCCACCACCAAACTCATTTGACATCAATGAATGCTATGTACTAGCTAACTAAGAAACCCGTGAATTCCAAATTGGGCATAAAAGCAATAAACCATCCAAAATTGGCAAAACCCAAGTAGCTAAAAACAAGAAAAAAGAAGACAGAAGCTATAAAGTCATAAAGGGGTTACAGGAATGGAGCCACCGCGCTCGCCTGGGAGTTGATCGAGCAAGGACCAATCGACGCGGGCCACATGGTCGACGAGGGCGGATGCCTGTAGTCCCAATACCAGAGGAGCCTCGCCTCCGCTGCAGTAGTTGTTGTAGTTGGCGGTGACGGGCAAGGCTTCTGCTCCCATTTTCGGCCCTCTGGCTCTGGTCTTTGGGAATTGGGACTTTGCTCTCGCTCTCTCTTCACACTTGAAGTTTTGTCGATCTCATGTATTTATAGACTCTGCAACCAAAGCAGGGGAGGCGCCGTTTGCAAGTTGCAAGGTTGCAGTCCAAAGCTTGAGCGGGGCCTACACCCTTGTTCTTGTTCTTGTTTTTTTTAACTCCCTAAATTGCCCTCAAATTCAGGACTTCTTTCATTATTTTTACAAGTTTATATATATTGACGAATTTTTGTTTTTCGTATTTTGTTGTTATCTTTTTTAATTACAGTGATGTTATTTCCACTCACCATATACATTTGAAAAAACACAAATTCCTATATTTCCGCACAATATTATTTTTAAAATACAATTTAATTATTAATTCAAACAAAACTAAAAAATAAAGCAAAAAATTAAAAAAATAACCCAAACCAACCCAACAACCTCTTCCTATTCTTCTTCTTCAATCACAATTCCAGATAAAATCCCAAAAGACACCCCCTTTAGTCCCATGTCCATACAGCATGCCCCTTGCTTTCATTCAAAGCATGCTTCAAGCCTTCAACCCCATTTGCATGCATTAATGCATTAAGATCCTCCATTTTCCTTGACTTGATGCTGTTAACGATTGCAAAAAACAGAAGCATTATTTAATGTATCATTATTTTTTTCATCTAGGAATTCCACTTCCATGATAATAAATAGAAATAATCCAATGCAATTTGTACCTTTGCGATAAAATGATGTTCCCTCTGTTGAAGTGAGTCTCCTAATTAATCAAGGAGATTTATTTCCTTGATTAATTAGGGGATTTACTTTCCTATTTTATAGATTTATTTCCTTTGATTAATTAGGGGATTTATTTTCCTAATCCTTTACTGGATCTAATTCCTTGTAAAGCTCTCATGTAAACTCTTATATATACCTCCTTATGGAGAAGAATAAAAGAAGAACCTAACATATTTTAGCATGGTATCAGAGCAATCGATCCTCGGTTGTCTCTAAATTCTCATATCAAAATTTCTCCTCCCCTCCTCTTCAAGGGGGGAGGGGGAGTGTAAAAGGATATGTTTCTTATTCTCATGGAGATTTTGCCTCTTTCTTGACTCCGACATACCCTTCTCTTCAGGGGGAGAAGAGAATTGAAGAGAAGTTTCTATGTTCTTAAGCCGTGTTCACAGGGTTTCTGTGTCCTTTAACCGAATTCACAGGGTTTCTGTGTTCTTAGCCGTGTTCACAGGGTTTCTGTGTTCTTTAAATTCCTCATATCCTCGTATCGTATCCTTGTATCCTAAATCGAATTCCTCATATCGTCTTCCTCTTACCCAAAATCACATCCCTCATATCGTATTCCTCGTATTTCCAGTTTCAGATTCAGGCCTAAACCCGAATCCTCATATACTCTTATCCCGAAACCCTAAACACATCTTTTTTCTTTTATTCTTCAATCATTCCGCTGCCATGGATATCGTTTCCAAATTCTCCCAAATCCAAATTCCTCAAATCTAAAGTCCTCAAATGCCTTATCTCAAATTTCTCATAATCAAATCATACTCAAATCAAATTCCTCAAATCTTATACACATACCTCTCAAATCCAATTCATACATCAAATTCATACATCAAACTCCTCAAATCAATTCCTCCAATCAAAATCCCTCACATTCTCATATCATTTTTTTTTACTTCTCTTATTGCAGACTCAAAACAACCGGTCGCCCGAAGCAAACGACCGGACACCTGAAGCAAACGACCGGTCGCCAAAGACTCTGCCTGAATTGCATGGATTATCGACCGGTCGCCAAAGACTCCGCCTGAATTGCATGGATTATCGACTTGGGTGCTACAAATTTCTTGACTCACTTACCAAGTTGGGAATTTGTGACGTATATGCACCAACTTGAGGAGGAGTGTTGAAGTGAGTCTCCTAATTAATCAAGGAGATTTATTTCCTTGATTAATTAGGGGATTTACTTTCCTATTTTATAGATTTATTTCCTTTGATTAATTAGGGGATTTATTTTCCTAATCCTTTACTGGATCTAATTCCTTGTAAAGCTCTCATGTAAACTCTTATATATACCTCCTTATGGAGAAGAATAAAAGAAGAACCTAACATATTTTAGCACCCTCCATCTCTTTAGTTTCCAAATGACCACCTGAGCGATACACCTAAAAGAAACCGGCCTTATATTAGAATTTAGAATTACCATCTTTTAACACGATGTTCCAATAGTAGAGATACTTTAGGAGCTATAATTTATATAAATTATTTTGCAAAGAGGTAAATTTGTCTTTAAAATTTTGAAAACAAGATGAATGGGAAAATAGGACAAATGAGTGGAAATAGCAGCACTTCTTAATTATAACAGAGATCTATAAAATTAAAGTTGTTAAACTTTTTCATTAACATATCCTAATTTTTCATTAACATATTATTAGCTTTTATTTCTATACAAAGTGGGCCCTTTATTATTCCTTGGACGGAAAGAGTAGGGCAGGGTCTATCTTTTTTTTTATACGGAGGGTAGGGTCTATCATCATGGTGGAGATTCTGTATTATATTGTTCTTAACTAAAAGAAATTCCACATTAAAAAAAAAACTAAAAAAATTTCCACATAAAGATTTGAAGTCCCTCTGATCATGATGTTCCTGTACTGAAAGTCTGGAAGCCAAAAGCATTATATATTTCAAGTTTCTACTCTTGTATATGGTAATGTTCATAATTCATGAACTAGAGTTGAGAAGAGACGTACCCCATTTTCAGAAAGACCTGAGTTTCTCTAATACTAGACTAGAATAGCAACGTATCATTCAAAAAGAATCCAAAACGAAACTAAAAATAGTAAAAAATCAAATCATACGTACTGGTTGTTTTGTTTTAATAGGCGCGGAGCTTCCCTACACCACCACCCATCCAAATGACAGATGTTACATCACATCATAAATCCGGCTTAGTTTCCGGAGCGAGTAAAACTTCCATGTGACATGTTTTATACACCTTTCTATGTGGCTTTAAGGAGAAAAAGTGTATGGTTTGTATTCGTGCGTTTGTGTATACACGCAAACAAACTTTCAATAGTATGTACTAGGAGGTATAAACTAAATTAGCTAATGGTGAGGCTTGAAGCAACTGGCCAGATCCAATTGAATTTTTCTCTACTTTATTATATCACAAGCAACACGGGCACCAACAACGAAAGAAACGAACTTTGATTATCCATTGCGTCTGTTTTTTTTCTTCTTTAATTTCCAAATTGAAAACGAAGAAACAAACAGCAGTTTGGACGGATTCCTCATTTATCTCGGGCGCCCTTAATTCAATTGAATGATTGGTGAGACAGCTTTTTCTTTCACTTTGAACTGAAATCACGGATTTCAGCTTTCTGAGATTCCGATCAGCCAATAATTGTTTCCAAAAAGATTCGATAATGGACCATAAACAATACAATACAATACAATATACCCAGAACTTTATCTGCAATCTGCATTATTACCGTGTCATCTACATCTCTTTATCCGTTAATTTTTATGCAAAATTAATGGCTCAAGTTTTGCTTCGACACCATTCCTTCCTGCACAAACCCAAAAAAAATAATATAATCATGCATGTGTGTGGCTGCCTTAGTGCCTAGGCTAGTAGGCTTGGGATTAGGGTTTTAGCTGGTCAACTTATACATCTGAGAGGTTGCTGTTGGATGGAATAACTTGCTTTTACAAGAGGCTCAACCACAACTCTGTTATTTCATCTTCTCTTGTGTCGTCTATTTGAGTATAATGTTTCATTTCATGCGAGGACATTAGAATGACCAAGAAACAAAATAGCTGCGCCAAATGTTAGCTTGCAGGAAGAGATGTGTCATGTTATGCCTTAATATGAGTCATTACTAGATAGATGGATGTGCAAATCAACCAAGTCATCGAGAAACTAGGTACCTTGGATACAAGAATGAAGTTAAAAACATCATCAACATACAAACTGCCAAAGCAGAAAATATTGTTTCCGAACAAAAAATACGCGGAAAGAGTTGATCCAATGGCTAGAAAAGACTCATAGTTCTGCCCCTAAAACATGTCGGGTATTATTGGGAAAGGAAATGATACCTTTTCCATGTATTTGCACTTAACAACAAATATTCCTTGACGCCAAATCTCTCAAGATTTGAGTTGAAGGAGGAAAAACAAAACAACTAACGAAATCATTTTTGGTCCTTTGGTGCTTTATCTGGTAATACATTATCTGGAAGAATAAGTTCTGGGGGAATTTCACGAACAACACCCAGCATTGAGTCATACTCCTCATCCTTTCGAGCAAACTTCTTGCGGAGGACCTTCTCAAACTCGATCTCATCAAAGGACTTCCCATTCTCAGCTGCATGGACTTGTGCAAGGTTGGTATAATTGGTGGCTGACTGGGAGATGAAGGCTTTTTCCTCATCTGTGAGCTTCCTCAGGTATTTTGCTGGATTACCTCCCCATACCTGCAATATATATTTCACAAATGTATTTTATTGCTTTCAATTAGCTGCCAGAAAGGAAAGCCCAACTTTAGCCTGGCTGGAGAAAGCTGAATCTGAAATCGTAACATACTATTTCCAGCTCGGTAAAAACATTAATAAGGGTTTTGTTTTTACGCAGGATTGCTCAACCGCCAGATATCAAAATAATTTATATACCTCCCCATTTATTTCTAAAATGGACATCAAAGAACAGAAATTTTGCTAGTATAACTCAACTTCTTTAACCAGAATCTGTAAAATTTGAAACCCCCACAAAAATCAAATGAGAAGCACTTGGGTATCAATACAGTAGATCAAACTTTGAAATTTTGATCAGTGGCGGCAGGTCATGAGAATGGTTAAAAAAAAGAACATAAGACTCCCACACCACTCATCCCTGTATCACTTTATGTCACCCTCCTTGAACATGGTATAATTGGGTTAAGCTTGTGCATTCAATAGAGTTCTTAACTAGATGTTAGAATATAACAAGGCCGTGTTGATAGAAGTAAGGCCGTATGGAATTCTTAACTGTGTCCAGGCACAATCATAACTCATAGAATTTCACATTTTTTTGTTTATTCTTTTGAAAACAAAGTAAAACATGTTCAGGGTCAGTGATAT